CACTGGTTTCCCCATCCATGGCTCTTCTCCCTAAGAGAAAGGGTGGGATGCTGGCCAGGGAGCTGGGCACCCAAATCCACTGGCAGGCCCCTGATTCCGTGGATGGGGAGCACCGCCCTTGCATCCCAACCCATGGAGCAACTCCACTTCCCTGAGCAGTTTCACTGATCGCTTTGCCACTGTGAGTACCAGTCCCAGGGACAAATCCAGAGGAGACATGGTGCAAGTTTGGAGAACTTTCTGGGTGTCTGGCTGGTGATGCTCAGGGTTTAGCTGATCGCCATATTTGGGGTCGGGAAGGAATTTTCCTCCAGGGTAGATTAGCAGAGGCCCTGGAGGCTTTTCGCCTTCCTCTGTAGCGTGGGGTACAGGTCACAGCTGGAGGATTCTCTGCATCTTGGGGTCTTCAAAGTATTTGAAGGCTTCAATATCTGAGATATAGGTGAGAGGATTATTCTAGCAGTGGGTGGGTGAGATTCTGTGGCCTGAATTGTGCAGGGGGTCAGACTAGATGATCATAATGGTCCCTTCTGACCTTAAAGTCTATGAGTCTATAAGTTACACTGCCGAATGGGCCTGTAACAGACCTCAGTAGCTAGTGTCATATGCCATTCTGATCTGATAGCATTTTACACCTGCTTTGCACATCTGTAAATGAAGGCAGAGTACAAGGCGGTGGAGAACAGGTGTAACTTGGGGAATGTCTACCCTGTGCACTAAGGCCAGGCTCTGACTCAGCTCTGAGGCTAAGCTCCACTTCTGTGCACACACAAATCCATCTGACTCAGGTCAGCAGACCCAGGATCTAGGTCCTAGGACCTGCTAGGGGGGTGGGTCAGAGCCTGTGTCCTCCTGCGACTTGGATCTAAGCCCTGTCCTTTTTCAGTGTAGTTGGAACTCAAGCCACAGATCCAAGTGAGAAGGTCGGCGTAATGCCCTTTGGACACATTACCACACCGGTGAGACTGGGGTTCAACAATTGTAAAACCAGGCTTACAATGCAGTGGGAACACTCAAGTGTGGACAGGGAAACCGCACGACCACAAGCCCCGGTCCCCGCAGACCCAAGCTCAGGTCTTGTCTACGTTGACAAGTTTTGTCACTAAAAACTCCAAAAACTGCCTTTTAGTGACAAAACAGTGAGAGTGTTTACAGTACAATTCAACTTTTGTTAAGAAAAACACCCAGTTTTGGTGACAAAAAACTTCCACCCCTGCGAGATACTTTTGTCTTTCCCCCTCCCTTTACTGTCAACAAAGAGACCCTGTGGACTCTGCTGTTTTGTCCAGAGAACTGGCTTCCTCCAGTGTCTCAAAATGCCTGCACAGATGGCTGTGCTCAGTGTTTTGTGATCTCTGCTGCCCTGCAGGCATGCATCCCCTCCCCTTTCAAAGCTCCAGGAAGTATTTGACAGCCAATTCAGCTGCTCCGTTTAGGGAAGCAAACAATAAATAAATAATTGGAGTGCGTCTGCTCTGCTGCTACAGGGGGAGGGCTGGAGAGACCACTGTGCTGCTTTGACATTCCTTGGTATGGAGAGCTCACATAGCTACGAGGGAATCCCAAGAAGCGCAGGGATTAGCTCTGTCTTCCCACAACACTGCATTGTGGGATGCTTACTCACATTGCTTTGCTCTTTCTGCTAGCAATGTGGCCATGAAATGTCGACAATGGGAGACAGAAAAAGTGGTTTGACCGGTTTTCACTTTTGGCAACTTTTGCATATGGACAGCACTTTTGTTGCCAAACCTTGCCAGTGTAGACATAGCCTCGGTGTGCACTGGAGACAGACCCTTCATGACCAGAGGAGAGGGGAGTAGCAAGGTGGAGTAAACATGTATAAAATTAGAGTCTCTTTCTCCCCCACAACTTAAACAAGTGCTGGTAGCCTGCAGAACGACCCGCAGCTGAGGGATGGGGGTGAGCCGCCTTGAAATTATCCCATGAAATTATCAGCAGAATAAAAACAAAGGAGGGAATCAGAATGGAGGGACGGCTCCTAGCAAAGGCTGCTACTGACTAGGTGCGGCAGAACAGGGCTCTAGGCTTGTCTCTTCAGCGGCTCTGTCTGTGCAAACAGAGCAGCTGGGGCCCTGCAGAGGGTGACCTGATCCAGGCACAAACAGGAGCTCGCCCTCTCTGATGCCCTCAGAAAAGGGCAGAGAGTCAGAGCCCCCACAACAGAGGCAAGAGACAAAGGAAAAGGGAATTACAAACATTTCTCTTCACTGCAGCTAGTCTGTTAAAAGTCTGATCTGGCTGGCAATGAAAAGCCTGCAGCTTTGGGTAATTCCTGCCACAGACACTTAGGCCGGCCTGCCTGATGGGCCTCTGTTAGCAGCATCCAATGCCTCCTTTTTCCTCTTTCGCATTTTGCAGCCTATCCACTGCCCCCATGAGACCCATGAAGTAAAACAAGCAGAGGGACTTGCTGCTAAAGCTCCTCTGCTTTAATTTCCCGCCCCAGGAAGCAAACATTTGGTTTTTTGCACGTCGAGAAGTGAACGGTGAGTGGGTGTCACTGTACAGGTCATTTCGAGGCGTCCTAAACCGCACAACCTCTGGGGGGGGAAGGGGCTCTGCACTGAGGGAGAAGGGGGCTCAGCTGCTGTCAGTCACTGGCTTACTTTGTTTTCATCAAAGACGTTAAAAACAAAGGTTGCAAATTTCGTTGGATCGCCGAAGGGAAAGAACTGCTTATAGATCTTCTGAAAGCCTGCAGCGTCCAGCTGTCCGCTGGGGCAGTCCTTGATGAAGCCCTTGTACCTGAGAAAGAAAGAGAGAGAGAGAAAAGTGAGTAGGTTACAGGTAGATTGGGCACAAGACATCCACCTTCCATTGACCCAGCTAAGGCCACAGCTGGTACGCTAGGGCTTTTCATTACAGCCCCATTCCTTCCTCTCAGCCTTTCTCCGCAATTACAGGCAGCCCATCCAGAGTGAGAAATTGCTCATAGACAGTATCCTCCTCCAGCCTTTTTAAAATGTGTTTCCTGAGCAGCTCCGTAGCCCGCGTGGTTCCGTGATAGCACAACTCGTGCTTGGCGGGAGGGCCCCGGCTGCTATCAGCGGTTGGTGTAGAGATAGGTTGCTGCTTTCGTAGCTCAACCACGCTTCCTTGGAGGCAGGCACCAGTGACTCTCTGCAGGATCTTGACTTTCCGCAGTGCTGACCCACTCCGCAAGCCGCCAGAAGAACCCAGGAGAAGCAGGGAGTAGCTGGTGGGTTCCCCTGACTGCACCCTGTGGGATTTCCCTGGCCATTCCCTCTTCTGCACATGCGGGCACCAGAAGAGCACTTGGCACATAGCACGATACAATGGGGGAAGCTGATCCCAACAGAGTGCTCACAGCCCACCTCTATGTGTACTCAGACCAACACTTCAGACATGTGTGTCCACAGGAGGGAGTCAGGAGACCTGGATCTGCTAGCAACTCATGAGCCTGCTCCATGGCTCAGTTTCCCCATCTCTAATCAATGGGGCAATGTGCTCTACAGCTAGACAGTGCCGTACAATCCTTATTACAAGCCGCTCAAGCCCAGCAGCCAAATCTTCTGCTTGACAAAGGACGAGTTTTGTTTGGCTCAGTGCTGGAGGGCAGCCCACCAAGCTAGAGATCAGAGCCTGGGGCTGGGAACTAGCCCCTAGCCTGAGTGCTGCTCCTTGCTTTGATAGTGACTGGCCGTAGAGATGCTTTCCTGGCTCACAGCGGGGTCTGTGAAGCTCAGTTAATGTCGGTAAAGCACTTTGCAGATGAAAAGCGCTGGCAGCATTAGTTGTCCAGAGACCTCACTGAGCGGGCACATTACAGTAATGCTGGAGCGAATGTGTAATTTTTAAGTAACTAAAGCTCCCTGTACACAGCCCTGTCATGGGAGTACATGATGCAAGCACTGATCTGCTTCAGATTAGGCCCTGAAATTCTAGCACTTGGTGTCCACTGCAGCTCTATGTATTCATTTAATGGCAGCTACCATGCAAGTTTCAAGAGAACAGTCAGGTTTACACTAGGGGGCGATGTTGGACTAAGGTACACAACTCCAGCTACACGAGGAGCATTGCCGGAATCCATGTACCTTAGATGAAGTTACTGGGTGGTGTCTCCACTGCAGGAGCGTCGACAGGAGAAACTCTCCCATCGATTCCCCTTATACGTCTTGATTCGCGAAAGGAGCGTGAGCAGCAGTCGATTTAGCGGGTCTTTACCAGACACGCTAAATCAACCCCTGGGGGATTGATCCCTGCAGTGCTGATCTCCTAGTAAGTGTAGACAAGGGTTGGTATGCACAAGAAAGTGAGGCTGACCCTGCTGTTATTCAGGGGTATGAAAAATTCACAGTCCTGAGAAATGTAGTTTAACCAACTTAAGCCCCAGTGTAGACAGGTTAACAGTTCTTTTGTCACCAAAACCAGTGTCATTGTAGCGCTACACTGGTGCAACTGCTGCCGTGCCACTCTTGTGTTTCTAGTAGAGATCTTCTTAGGAGGATGAAGTCGTCCATCCTTTTAGGGGGAGCAGAGCAGAGTGCTTTAGTGGCTATAGTGTTGTGAGTCAGCAGTCCTGGGGCCTGGTCAGACTCTGGCAAGGACTTGCCGTGATGTTCAGTTCCTCAGTTTCCCCGTCTTGAAAATGTGTCTCAGTTTCCTCATCTTGAAAAGGTGATGATGATCCTGCCCTCCTTTGTAAAGTGCCTAGCAATCCGTGGCTAGAAACCACTATCAATTTGTCAAATGTTAAGTGTGATGATTATTTTACGTATACAATCAAAATGTCAGGGAGCAGCAGAGATACATGGTTTTATTTTCATTCCAGTCTCAGAGCTCCTGTTAATGTCAGCAAGGTATTCTGGTGCAGGTAACATTGGTGCTGTTACCGTAGACTATATAGACTATAGGAGGGCAGGATCATTATCACCCTTTCAAGGTGGGGAAACTGAGGAACTGAACATCATGGCAAGTCCTTGCCAGAGTCTGACCAGGCCCCAGGACTGCTGACTCACAACACTATAGCCACTAAAGCACTCTGCTCCCCCTAAAAGGATGGAAGACTTCATCCTCCTAAGAAGACATCACATGGACTCACTCCTCCCTGTTATAACAGGAGATGAAAACATTCTGATTCCCTGTAATACCATCGGGCATTTGTGAGCTTTCAGTGAATGATTGAAAGGGCTCCCCAAAACGGGCCCTCCTCTACTGTCCTTGCGACAACTTTAGTACAGTGACGCAGCTCAGTTCTCTTTCTACTGAGCTCCAGCAAGCACAGGACCCAGAGTCAGGAAATCGGATGTCTAGTCTGAGCTCTGCCGTTGTCTTGCTCTGTCATCTCGGACAAGTCCCATCACTTCTCCGTGACTCAGTGTCCCCATCTATAAAAAGGGGATAATATCTACTATGCAGGAACGGTGTGAATGTCAGGTAAGTGAGGTCAGCCCTGCAGCTAGGAGGCGCTATAGCAGAACGGAGTAACAGTACTGTTCATGCACCTGGTTTGAGACCCCTGCCCTAATGTCTAGGGACCGATTTCCCTTGGACATGAAACCAAAACATTGTTTATACATCGTCTCATGCTACAGTCCAGAGGGAAAGGACACAGGGAATCAGCATGGGACTTGGGTTCAGTTCTCTGCTCCAAATACCCAACCACAGGTTTTCTGTGTCACTGTGGGCATGGCTAGATTGAGCAGGTTAAATAAACATCTGTCAAGGATGATCTAGTTGGTGGTTGCTCCCCCGCCCCCCAGCCCTTTCTCACCCCCCAGGCATTACTGAGCAGAAGGCAGAGTGCAGAAGGCCCTCTTGCATTTCTATGCACTCAGCTGAGGGTCTCTGGAAAAAAAATCTGTGCTTCGCTGTCACTGAAATATGTTTTTTCCCTTATGCCCCTTAGGCGCAACGAGGCACAATGAAAAATACTGCCACTTTAGCAGGGTGATCTGAGATTCCCGTTTTATCTTATCCCCTTGGGAGGGAGGGGAAAAATAAAATTGACCAGGAGCAAAACAAAAGAGGCCAGGTGACCACGCAGGGGTTTGAACAAAGTCGCACAGTGGGGAGCAGGAGAGAAGAAGGTCACAGAAGAGGTGGGCAGAAGTGGGCCATGCCATGTGGGAGAAGCACCCCAACATGCACATATCTGGATGAAGTGGGGGGCCCTGCCAGCTGTCCGGAGCCCAGAGGGTTACCGATGCACTAACTGGGGGGAGGGGGAGTACTATGGTTAGCAGGTTTTTTAATGATCTGAGCTCACTTACGTTGCGTGATACATAACAGAGCAACATTGAGCTGGGCTCTGGATGTAGCATGCTCCATGGCTGTGAACTTCCTGAGAGAGTGACCCGGCAAAGCTCTCTAGGACCGGGTATATGAGTCTGGGGGAATGGGAGGGATCACCCTGTGGGGACTGGCGGAGGTGTCCAGTTCTCAGGATGGGCCACTAGACAAAGGGACAGCTGCACCCCAAGAGTGTGCTTAGAGATTCCAAAGAGCAGCTGGTCTTATTTCAAACCCCAAAAGCCTAAACCACTGGGGGAATCTAGGGACCCAGAGTCTTGGATGCCGCCAACTCAGCAGTCTGGCAGGTGGCCTGTAAAGGGGCGCTTGACAAAATCTGTCTCATAATGTTTGGGAGACTTCATGGCTGTGTCTACACTGGCATGAATTTCCGGAAATGCTTAAAACAGAATAGTTTTTGTTATAAGTATTTCCGGAAAAGGAGCGTCTACATTGGCAGGCTGCTTTTCCGGAAAAGCCCTTTTTCCGGAAAAGCGTCCGTGGCCAATGTAGACGCGCTTTTCTGGAAAAGAGCCCCGAGCATCATTTTCGCGATCGGGGCTTTTTTCTGGAAAAGACTACTGGGCTGTCTACACTGGCCCTTTTTCCGGAACAGGGTTCCGGAATAAGGACTTATGCCCGAGCGGGAGCAGAATAGTTTTTCCGGAATAGCGGCTGATTTTGTACAGTAGAGCATCGTTGCTTTTCCGGAAATTCAAGGGCCAGTGTAGACAGCTCGCAGCTTATTCCGGAAAAGTGGCTGATTTTCCGGAATAAGTGGCCCAGTGTAGACACAGCCCATGTGAAATCCACCCTGGCTTCCTGGAAGTCCAAACTCCCCTTGACATGAGAGGTGATGTGCGAGCTAGCAGTAAAGTACCATGAGAACAGCATGAGCACAGACGCTGGCAGAAACAGAACCCCCCTCCCCACACACACACACTGATCATCGGAACTGGATACAGCCAGGCAGTCCCGTCCTGCCGCAGTCAATAGCTCAGAGCTACTGCCCCGTTACACAACTCCAAAGGGGTTAACGCTGCAAGCTGCCTGTCACCCTCCTGCCTTGAATGATTGCCCAAGGAGGCCCCCTGTCCAGATGGAGACAAACCAAGGCAGCTATAAATCTTACACCTTAACCCACAAAAGCGGCAGCAGGGACAAAGGACAGAAATGTTTATTCATTCTTGCTTTTTTTTGCCCGCGGTTCTTTCTGCTTTAGGTAGTGCTGCTGCAGCTGGGATTAGAATAATATTTACAGAAAAGGAAGCACTAAGATTGTAGCCATAGCTGAAGCACACTGGGTTTCCTTTCCATTGCCTGTGTGGCTCTGTAAATGTATGTCCATTTCAGGGATTACTGTAAATAGTCTCTTTCCCATTTGTGCTAGCTCTCCTAGACAGGGGTTGAAAAAGGGTGGGAAAAGGAATCTTACAAGACATCATCAGGGTCTGTAACATTTACTGGTTGCAGTAGGGTGACAAAAATGGGAT